CAATGGACAGCCCATTATAGTCGGTCGGTAGTTTATTACTGCCTGTATATTTCTTTACAGCCATAGATACCGAAACTGCTTCGCACATCGATAACAATATTACTAAAACAGTTTCTGATGATATAAATTAAAAAAAAAATCTAGTTGGAGCGAAATATAGAAACTTTTATCGATACAAATTTTTTAACGTTTATCGATGGATATGGGGAAAAATATCGACAAAAGCAAAACGTTTTGTGTGTATATGTTTATCTATAACGATGATAATCGTCAAATTGCTAGAAGAATATTTTGCCAAGTCTTTCGATAATGATATCCGTAGAATATATATATGAAAATATTGAGCCTCAAGCTCAATAAAAATTGTTGAATATAAGTTTATAAGGCCATAAAATAACAGAAAACAATTTTGTTATCGCGAAAATTCTATCGATAAAAATGTTAAAATAAAAACCAGAAACCGCAACGGTTTTTATCATAAAATATAATAATATATAATAAAATTCATAATTTAACCGTATTTATATTTTCTTAAACAAATTTAACCGTTTTTTTTTTTATTTTTATTTTAACGATCAAGAATAATCGTTATTTTTGCATTATTGTCGATCCGATAAAACATTTTAGACCACACAAGATTTAAATCAGTCATAAAAAACATTGTTTCCATCATAGCTGTTAAAAATGATTGCAAAAAAATAAAAATCTAATAAACTGATTATTTTTTATCGGAAAAAAATCGAAAATAACGAATATTTTTGATCCAAAAAATTTTGGTTAGAAATAATGATTATTTTTTATCGAAAAAATAAGAATTACAAATTAACGATTAAATTTTACTGAAAAAATAGGAATCCAAATTTTACAATTTGTCGGAAAATAAAAAGTAAAACATATTGACTTTACAATTATCTAAAAATTAATGACTTGAAAGCGCCTTCAGGACCTTCAATTTTAAGCCCCAAGGAAGAAGAGCGAAATTTAAAAAAAAGTGGAACTGACATTATTTGTGGTAATACTTATATGTATTTAAATACATACATACATACATATTCGTGCTTGAAGGAACGTTATTTATAAAGTACGTAGTTTAGTCCTTTGTTCAATTGCATATGATCTTATCTATAAGAGGTGCCAAAATCTAAGCTTCTTTGTTTATTTTCCAGCAAAAGCAAAAAAGGAAAACAAACAACAGTTGGAATAAATAGCACAAAAGTGCTACTTCAAGTTATCATTGCCATATATCTGACATCGCTTGTATACAACTCTATATAAATGCCGCATTCGCATGTGATATGTGGACAACTTTGACGCCCGGCAAGCCAATTTGCCTCTGACATTTCTTTCAATTTAGTTTAGTTGTCACTTATTGTTGCAATGATTACTACGATACTTTTTTACTGATAGCCTAATGACTTATGTTTGTACATATGTGCGAATACATGTGTTGACCGGCTTGTTTTGCTAGATGTTCTTGTCAGCGTTTTATTTGTTGTTGATTTTCTAGACGGTCATCGTTAGTTGCTACTGAATTTATTTCAGACAGCAACAAAGAATTGGGAAACTTATTTATCTGCTACCGACTAACTTGTTTGTTATGTAATTGACTACAACTTAGTTTGAGTGAAATACATATATTTGTCTATGCTTTGTTTAACTATCCTGTAATTGGACTACTTTCGTATGCGCGCGTACATAATTGTAGCGACTAATGCAGGCTTCTTTCAAATTTGTTCTATTTCCAAGAATACTTAGCCTGTGGTCGACGTTCTTAACAAAGCTGAAGTCTGTTCCTTATTTGTTACTTATATTTACTCGTACTAAGCTACTAATTGGGCTGATACAAAAGCGTTTAGCTGTAATTATATCTCGTTTATGGACTTTCTTGACTCTTAATTAATTATGACTAGCAGCTGACAGCAGCAGACATATGTACGTATGCACAACTTTTTTGTTATTACAATATGGCGTTGTATCACTTTATATTCACCGTTTCGGCTGATTGTGAGAAAAAATTCATTTTCCAAGCCAGTTTGGCTCATCTTGAAGTCGTATGAGTGAGCTTTTAATTCATTGCTTTACGTTCCCATATAATGGAAGCATTGAAGACCGCGGATGCTCATAGAGCCCAGATGCTAAGACGGAGCAGTGAAAGAAAAAATGCTCGAGCAGCTGCAGCTCTCGTCTCTGCCATGAATTGTAGTGGCAGTGTATGTTAAAGGCTTGTTGTTGTTGTTGTTGCAGTGGCTTACTTAGTCCTGCGTAGATCGACGACGACTGATGCGTCGTCAATCTCATGAGACGACTCTCTGCATGTCTCTCTGAGTTTAACCTGCTGCAGTATCCAACGCGAAGTTGGGCTATAGTGGTGCGAGTCTCCCGAGGCAGACACAGTTCTGTCCCGTCCACGTCGGGTTGTTAAATAACGAAAACAGCATTCAAGGGCCGGTAGTCGATGTAGATTGAGACCGACTCCCTGTGAATGCCGTTTATGGCCTGTCGGTATGCTGTCGGGCCCATAGGTTATTTTGTGAACCCCTGTACTTCGTCCGTCAGTTCGTTAGAAACCTCCTGGTGTGCCTTGGCGGGGGCTCTGCTGCAATCAGGTGCCTCTGTTTTGGTGCTCGCGTTTCTTTGTCTTTTCGCTAGGGGCTGCCGACTAGCGACCTAAGAACCCTGTTACGGATCCGTACTCTATTGGCAATTGCGGTTGTATGCATCGAGAAGGAGAGCAGACTGTCGAAGGTAACTCCGAGAATTTTTTGTTTATTCTAATAATAGGCTCCACACTTTGAGTATGGGTACCAGGCCACAAAGAGGAGGAAGTGAATCACCTTGTTTGTGATCAGTGCCCCTCTCAATACAGGTGGTTCCTAATAACGAATGGTGTGCAGAGGCCACATGTAGGTTACTACATCACATCGGGCTCACCTTTTCAACTACTGGCCTGACCACTGCTTCGACATGTAAACGGGGTTTTTACAGACCACTGCTCGATGGGTATGCAAGCTAGCAGAATTAATCTATAATCGAAATACCATTTTCAAAGATGTCTGGTTTGTGCAGCATTGGCTCTGAACCTCCGAACTGAGTACAGCTGGAATTTGAGCTTTGTGACCTTCATCAGAAGGGTGAATTAATTTCACTTAAAGTGAAAATAAGCGTCTAAAGAGCCTGTATTATTGCTATCACAATTGGGTGCCTACGATAAGCAATTCTCAACTAACATACAAGAGTGTGTAACCTTATATGCTGTAAGCAAAACCTTATATAAACGTATATTTTATGCATCAGCCGAGTAAAGTTTCGCCCTTCGGATACCAATACGAATACAAAAATGAATACGAGTACAAGTACAAGTACGAATACAAACACGAATACGAGTAAAAGTACGAGTACTAATATGATTACTAATTCAAATACGATTCCGAATACGATTGCGAATAAGAGTGCGGATATGAGTACAATTACGAAGCAATTAAGGTTACGATTGCGAATACCAAAACGAGTATCATTATAAATGCGGTCCCGATTTCCAATTTGAATTCAAATGCGAGTATGTGCATTAATGTGAATGCAAATACCAGTACTAAGGCGAGTATATAACCGAATACAAACACGAATGCAAGTACAAGTACAAGTTCATGTACGAATACAATACGAATGCAAACACGAATACGAGTACAAGTACGAGTGCGAATAGAATAACTAATATTGATACGATTACGAATACGAGTAAGAATTCGAGTACGAATACGTCTAGCAATAAGAAAACGAATGGGAATATCCAATGCGACTACGAATACTAGAATGTGCATCAATGCGAATGGGAATGCAAGTGCTAATGCGTATATAAGTATGAACACGAATACTAATACGAATGCGAATAAGAATATCAACGTGCACCAATACAAATGCAATTACGAATAGCAAATAAGAGTTCAAATATGAATAGGAATGCGAGAAATCATTTTAAATCATTGTCATTTGAAACATTTCATAGTGACTGCGTTTTTTTTAATTGAATTACCACAGCCCGCAATGTCTAATAAAAAAAAACACAATTAACAAGCAATCATCGCTAAACAATGGAAAGTCCAGCTGCAACTCGTTAAGCAATTAAGAAAACCACAAATCAAAAAATCTTAGCAAAGGACATGTGAAAATAAAGGCAATCCAACCACCAAATATTTACTATCTGCCCATTTTGCGCACATTCAAGTTGCAATTAAAATGTTGCAAATTTAATCAATCCAACGAAAAACCACAAACTTTTCTTAGAAAATTGCATGCAGCAAAAGGCACACACATACTCACACACGCACACACAAAAGGATGCAGGCACAAAACAAAAGCATACTTGCAAAGCTAGAAAATTTTCGTATATAAAAGGAATTGCAAGCAAAATTGCAAAATATTTTAGTTCGTTTGACTTTGTTGTCGCCTGATTGAATAGCTTGTGAGAGGAATACTAACTAACTAAATATGTAAAACTTTCTGTGTAATTTCACAAAGGAACAAAGTGAAGTACTTGTGTTTTGTGAAAAGTCAAAAACTTTAATAAAATCACATATCCACAGCAAGTCAAAATTTAACAAAGACTTCATAACACAACGCCTAAACTACCGCAAAAAAAAGCGCATTTTTTTTAACCTTAAAAACTGAAAAGGACATTGAGAGGCAAAGATTTCAGCATGCCTTTTCAAGTTCATAAATTACAAAAATTTCTTACATACCCTGAACTGGCCTTCAAGTGGGCCTTTTTTGAGCCATTCATTTGGAGTGGCAATCGTCACCGCCATCAGCCGACTGCTTGGTATTACATAAAGCACTGCATCTGCATATTCGGTCTATTTACCTTGGTGGGACAAATTATGGCACTCGTCTGCAATTTGTATATGCCACATAACACACCCGAGGCTGAGGCATATGAAAATAGTGAATCGAAAGTGTTTGAGGCAACCGCATTAATTTGCTACTTTTCTTGTTGCTTGTACAAAATGTGGAACATCTTTTGGCGACGCAAGGATATCGGTCCACTCTTGGAGAAATTCAATGAGTTATTTCCGAGCGTTGTTATACAGAAGAAGCTTGCTGAAGCCAATGATTATAAAACTGAACTAAAGAGGGGCTGTAAGTGGAATTTTTACTAGCTTTCTTTCAAACTTTTTTTATGAGTAGTTTAAAACTGGGATCTTTCAAACAGAGAGAGGGAGAGAGATATTTCCTTAAAGAGTTATGGAAACATCATAATTTTTCAGGTGCAAAAAGTATTAAGTAATTTGGTTGGGAATTACAGTTTGCTCAAAGGGCGAGTGAAATAACAGCCTATAAGCAATACAATGTTATATTTAGGGACATTCTGGCAACTCTCTTGAAAGCTTTTTTTCGATTTCTTCTAAAAATTATATTTTTCGTTTTAAAATAAACGAAAAAATAAAAATTCAAAGAAAATTTAACTAACACTAAGAAAAATTTATCAAAAAGAAGAAAAAATAACAAAATCGGTCTCTAAAAAATTAAACTAAGTTAAAAATATATATTTTTCTAAATAAAAAAAAAACATGTATTAAAAACATTTTATTAGAGAAACAAAAAATTAAAAAAATTCCTTAAAATTAAATGAAACTAGCACAAAAATGATTTTCTTTTTCAGAAAATAAAATCTAAACATTAAAAAGGCAAAAACTTAATAAGGAATCAGGAAAACCCCATATAAATTTCTAAAATTAAAAAATATTTTTTTCTTTTTAAAAAAGTAAAATCTTAAAATTCAGAGAGAACAAAATTTTAAAAGAAAAAAGTTAAAGAAGTACATAAAAAAGTTTCTAAAAATATGTATATTAAATTTTAAGCTCTAAAAATTTTAATTGTAAAGAAGAAAAAATAAATAAATTAAGTTCCTATAAATAATTTAGAATAAAAAAAAAAAATATTTTAAAAAAGTTTAAGAATAAGCAAAAAATTAAAAACACTTCCTAACAATTAAATCAAACAAAAACAAAACTCGTTTTGTTTAAAAAAAATAAAGTCTCCTCAAAAAATAATAAAATAAGATTAAATTAAGAGGAAAAACATTAAATTATTATAAGCAAAATATAAATTTTCTTTTAAAACAACAAAATCAAAAAACTATAACAGGACAAATTTAGCAAAAAACATTTATTTAAAAAAACATAGAATATGTGTCTAAAATTTAAGTTAAACTAAAAAATATATACGTTTATCTTAAAAATAACGAATTCTAAAAATTAAAGGAGGAGTACCTAATTTAAAAATAAGAAAAAAAACTAATCCAAAAAATGTAAATTTTTTCGTTATAGAACAATATTAGGGGTGAGAGCATAAAAACTCCGACTTAACTTTTTCACATGCATTTTTGGACCAGCCTTATAAACCGTTTAGAAAGCAGTGCTTTCTATCAAAAAGAGCTTTTCATCATTAAATTTGCCATGGGAGCTTTATTCTCATACCAGAATAAAAAATCTTCCAAACTATCTTGCCTATTGTCTTTCCACCTGCATTTGGAACATATGCAAGTGTTTTCTGGCAAAAGAGCTTTTCATCACACAAGTTGGCCAGGGACCTTTTTTTGTGAGACTTTCGTATCAGAATAAACAAAATCTTTCAAACTATCGTACCTATTATCTTTCTTCTCCAATTGGGAAATGCTTTCAGGCAAAAGAGCTTTTTATCATAAAAGTTGGTAAGGGAGCTTTTTTTATACCCGAGCCCACTTGTGCACAAGGGTATATTAATTTTGTTCACATAACGGTTGTTTGTAACAGCCAAAACGAATCGAGATAGATATAGACAAATGTATACATAAATGATCAGGATGAAAAAAGAAATCGATTAAGCCATGTCTGTCTGTCCGTCCGTCTGTCCGTCTGTCCGTCCGTCCGTGTACACGATAACTCGAGCAAAAATTGAGATATCTCAACGAAATTTGGTATGTAGGTTTCCCTTAATCCAAGGTAGGTTGGTATTGAAAATGGGTGAAATCGGACTTTAACCACGCCCACTTCCCATATAACGGTAATTTCCAGAAATACGAAAACTGCGATATTTTAGTAACTACTGAAGATAATTCACTCAAAATTGATATTTACAATAATTTTTAGACGAAAAATAAGAATATTATAAATTTTTGGAAAATGGGCGTAGCCACGCCCACTTATGGTTACATGTGTATATCTTGGTAACCGCTGCACCAATTTCTTCCAAACTTGGCACAGTTGTTGGCCTTGGTACAGCATAAAAAACCGCCGAAACTTTTTAAAATCGGACAATAACCACGCCCACATCCCATATAACGGAAATCTTCGGAAATACAAAATCTTCGATAAATCATTAAATATTGAAGCTAATTTATTCAAAATTGATGCTTGCAACAATTCTTTACCAAGAAATACGTTTATGGTAAAATTTTGGAAAATGGGCGTGGCACCGCCCACTTATGATCACATATAAGTATATCGGTAACCGTTCTACCAATTTGTACCAAACTCGGTGTGGTTATTGTGCTTGCCACATATAAGCAAAACGTTGAAAATTATTGAAATCGGACTAAAATAACTGCCGATTCTCATATAACGGTAAATTTAAGAAATGCTTGAAACTTCAATATTTCGAAATTGAAGGACGCTAATTTACTCGAAATTGATACACCTCGGCTTACCATCTAGCGGAAGGTTTCGGAAGGATGAAAAAACACATATTTAATACTTGCGCCGGGTATTTATTGTTCGGCTCCGCCCGAACTTAGACTTTCTTACTAGTTTAATATCAGAATATACAAAATCTTTAATCTATCTGCCCTAAATCTTTAATCTATCTTTGAAACCAAAAAATATGCACAAAGATTTTCATACGTCTACCAAAGTGATGCTCAGAGAGAGCTTTTACTCTGTACGAGTCCATATAAAACCTAGAGAACTTTGAAGAGTTCAGCCCGCGGGCGCTGTTTTGAGCACACTGGTCTAGCAACAATGCATACAGTTAACATATTCATTTTCTCTTATTAATCTTCTTAATTCCTATAATTTGTATCATACCCGTATTACAATATGTTTCCTCGTAACCTTTACAGCCGGTGGCTACTATCGCTTCGCCTACTTTGAAGAAAAATCACGCGCTAGAATGCGATTTATGACTAAATACTTTGTGTTCGCCTACTTCTACTATAATATTATACCGATACTACAACTTATTTATGAAATATTGTCACCGAATCAAACTGTTACCTACAAAACGCAATCGAATGCCTGGTTTCCGTGGCATAATCACAATAATCATTCCACTTTTGTTGGATTCGTTTTCAACTATCTCGTACAAGCATCAGCAGAATTTGCTGGCATCAACTTTATAATGTGTGGTGAATATCTTTTTGGTTTTTTTAATACACAAATGCAATTGCACTTTGATTATTTGGCCATTGCTTTGGAGACGTTGGACGCAACCGCACCAGATTCCATGAAACAGCTGAAAACGCTTATCACCTATCACGCAAACTTATTACGGTGAGTTAAAGTCGTAGATTTAGGAGCGTAAGATATTGAAGAAAATTATTCTCAACCATATTTCTTGCAGTCTTTTCAATGAAATCAATTCCGTTTTCAACATCACCTTTGCGCTGGACTTAATAAATGCCACTTTTGCCATATCTTTGATGGGCTTGGCTATGGTTATGATCGAATTCGGACGCGCTGTGATGTTTTCAGCTGGCTTTTCCTTCTTTTTAATACTCAGCTACGTATTTTGTAAGAATGGCGACGAATTTACCGATGTGGTGAGTTTTTCTTTCTGGATTAAAAATATAAAATCGAACACATATTTTTCTTCCACAGAGCAATAAATTGAGCTCGGCTTTGTTCTATAGCAATTGGTATGAGGGTTCTCTGGAATATCGTCGCATGATTATCTTCTTCATTATGCGTACCAACAAACCATGCGAGTATCAGGCTTATGGATATACAGCTATCTCTATGGTGACCTATATGCGGGTAGTATTGAAATAAAAAAATATATATATAATTTCATTATTCTAAATTCATATTTACTTAATTTTTGTCTCTTACAGATGTTAAAGCTATCTTACCAGCTCTTCACATCTTTTCGGGCCATTGAATAGAGCAACTCTATGGAACATCATAAAATTAGTATCACGAATTAAGTAGCATCGCAACAGAAAGCAAATTATAGTAGAAAAAATCGCTTCAATGAATAGAAGAATACATCATAAGTAAAGTACAGTCAGTCAATAAAGTTTAGGTACAGCGACTCTTTTACAAAACGGGCAAGTATTTTTTAAATATTTTATTTTTCGCAAATTCTTTATAAAAATATGGTTACTTCAATAAAAAAGCCCCAAAAATCAGAGCTGCAAAATTAGATAAAAATCCGCACAATTTCATTCAAATATTGCACTATTTATTTACGCTCTCTAGAAAAAACTTGAGAATGCAGTTTTTAGTCCATTCAATTTTAACATAACAAAGTGGAAGTATGATGAAGCTAGGACTTACCATTGATTGTTGACTAATTTTCTTTTTTGAAGGTGTCGCGCATTTTTTCCATATAAAATAATTATCAACCGTTAAAAATAAGTGCTAAAAATCAATAGTAACTCCTAGCTACCTCCAACTTGCACTTAAATACACTAAAATTGAATGAGCTAAAAAATTGTGTACTCAACTTTTTTCTGAACAGTGTAAATAAAAAGTGTAATATTTGAATGTAGTTTTGCGAAATTTCCTTTAATTCTGCATAAGGTTTGTAACTGTAATTTTTATTTAACCATATTTTTATACAAAATTAGCGAAAAAAAAATATTTAAAAAAAAATAGTTGCCGGTATTGTAAAAAATTCGCTATACCTAAACTTTATTGACGAACTGTATATAGCTCGTGCAACAAATTTACACCTTTTAGGGCCAAAGTGCTTTTTAAGTAACATCTAGCTTTTCAGTGCTACACAAAACCGCTCTTATGTAATAATCGAAAGGATTTTTATTAATATATATAGCACCTTATCTGCTACTATAACCAAGGCTCCTTTTATTAAAACAAAGGTCTGTGCATGGGCTTTGCATATTTTCTGTTTGTTCGACTTCGTGACAGTACAGTATTGTTATGGTTATTATGGGCCATAGGCACTGCGACCTCTAAAGTGATCTATTATTTGTAGGTTTTGTTCGAAATTTCAAATGGATTAAGGTTAGTACCACTCAAGTTCGCTAAACTGCGCCTAACGAGAGCGTCAAAATTCCAGTTCACAAAAGCGACAGACGCTTGTCTCTGGGAAATTAATTTTTTCTGCGGTGACAGCAAAGGGAGCAGTGTCCCGTGTATTACTCAGTGAGAGTTTTGAGGTCATCTATGCCTAAATAGAGTTGTTTCTTTGAAACTTCTTTTGAAGTACAGATAAATCGTTTGGCTTGTTTCTTCTCTGGCTATATCGTCCAGTGCCTGTTGAACATTTTGCCTACCCAGTTATTTAAGGTTTCCTTTATGTGTGCATTGGTGAGCCCACATAAAATATTGCGTTAGTTCCCTGTATCGCTAGTCAGCCAGTCTTCTCCTTTTCATCATATCCCTCATGCCCCAGTACCCATCGCAATAAGGCTTTATTCTAGGCTACAAGTGCGTTTAGGACATTGAAGCAGTCATATACTAGCTAAGAACCTAATTTTTGGGATTTTCAGGGTCAGTAGGGCTGCCAGACTGTCCGAGATAACGCAAATTCTAAGACATTCTCTGCCACAAATTTATGTTGCGTGAACCTCTATTTTGTCCAAAATATGCCAACCCCAGTTTTACCATTTTCAAGTTTAGATCCAGCTGTGTACCACACCTCCCCATTACATCGGGTGTATGGGTTCCCTGCATTCCAGGGAGGTCGATTTGCAATATGTACTTCAAATTTCGCAGAGATTCCTAGTTTTTGAACTTAATGTGACGCGTCATATTTTCGATTTTCAGGTCGAAGGTGTTAAAGATTCCCAATGCTGCTGTGGTCGGCTATTTTTCCATTAAAATATAAAAGGGAGGTAATCCCCCAAAGGCGCTGAATGCATAAGCCGGAAAGGCCTTCATACCTCCTGTTATGCCAATGCAAACCATTCTGTGCAATTTACTTAGTTTAGTGTTCGCGGGTCTTTGTGTAGCTTTAGTCCACCGAGCTAAGGAAGCATAGCTTTACGACAGTGTTTAATTAACAATATTTCATTTTGGAAGTAAAGTCTCATGCCCAAGCGTAAACACGCAAAGAAGGCCTTGATCGCGTTGGTGACAGCAGCGTATAAAGGTTGACATATCTCTCGGTGATGGGATCAATAAAAACATTTTCAGATATGGCTTTCGAGTTGCTTTTAGGGTGGACTGCGCAATTTCATTCATTTTCATTCATCTCTGCACATTAGCTGCCTCAATAGAGTTGCAACAATGAAAGTCCATCTTTACCTGTAAAAAAAAAAAACCTCCCTGCAGATAAGGGAATGCTTGTTAACAAACGCATCGGTGGCCTCGTTAATGTAAGGTGTGGGAGAGTGGGGCTATAGAGTGATGAAACCGATGGCAGCGAGATCTATAGTGGGTGATAAATATTAGGCATGTCCGTCAAAAAGTCAGGGTTTCGACATAAGTTCCACGGATAGAACTTCTATGGCACCGTAACAGAAGTTCCACACAAGTTATAGCGAGAAATTACTGCCATCAATCGATTTTCGGCCCAAGGAAGTAAATTCAGACAAATGGTTCCACAGATCAGTTTCATGCAAGATATGTCAGAAATAAGTTCCATGAAAAAAATTCTCTATTAAATGAGCCGCTAACTGCTAAAACTTTTTAACTCCGCTTTTTAACAAATCTTAAATTTAAGTGTGTTTTCTTTTTAGAAAAGGTTGAATGTTTAAAAAAGCGCGCCACTTTGGCTTTCGAAAGCCATAATGCTGTATTAGGAAAACGTGCTCCTTTTAAGGGGAATTTCTTCGGTTCTTTTACGGTTCTAATCTCTGACGAGGCCGCTATTTCTTCACAATTTCCGCGAGTTATGAATGATAGTTATCGGCTGCCAGTCAAAAAAATATTACTAACTATTCAGCGGGATTTTGAAATCGATAAGGCATCTAAGTTATTGTTAGGGGAACAAATAAATATTGGAAAAATTTTACGGAAAACGGCTTTGAAGAAGGCAATCGAGAATTTTTTTTTAGAAAACGAAGAAGAAGATTAATTCGAGATTGAAATTGAGGATAAACTGGATGATAATATGATCGAATTTTCCAAGGAGAATTTAAACGAAAACACTTTCGATGAACCTCAAAAATCTCCCAATTCTGAAAGTCTCAAAATCTATATCAACCATATTCGCGAAGGTGTACTTATTTCCTGTGGTTATGTAATTTTGTGTGAATTCTGTCACAATTCTTCAAAGATTGAAAATTGCCATGAATATCTTAAAGGTTTTATTCGAACGATATTATAATTTATTCGCAATATATGTATGCTCATAGTATTAGTCTACACCGAAAAACATAAAAACATATTATTTTGGAATACAAAATATGTATATCATGGTCATCTTGAAATCAATTTAATTATTTTTCATTGGGTGGCACACGAATTTTATTAATCTAGCTCGGTTGGTTTTGACAAAAAGGAATATTTTCACCGTTTAATGTTAACATTTTTTAGTATCCCAAACTTTTAAAATGAGAAAATCTTTAAATTTTTTAATTTAGTGACACCCTTTTGAAACTTCACTAATATGTTAAAAAAAAAATAATAATTATCATTTTTTCGAGTTACGATGAAAAAATTATTAATTTCGATACTTTTTCGCCAAAATAAACTTTTTAAAGCTAAAACTGTTCAAATACTTGATTTATTTTTTGTTTAACTTATTTCTGAAACTCGATTGATTGAAATAAATGCAATGCTTTAATGTTGACACTAAAACAACTAGTGAGATTTGCTCATATATTCCTACAAAAAATGACCTAGGATGTCTAGGTGCGATAGTTATTATTTTACCCGCTACAGATTTGTATATTTTTTATGCGCATTTTCGATCCATCGATTCCTTTTCAATCTTTTGTTCAATCGTATTTACTATAAACATATATACACATTTATTTTTTAAAATAAGGCTTTGCATAACAAACACATAAACTTATACGTGGATATCCAACATAACACCTATTCCAAAAACACAAACGCCTGTGCTTCGTTAGTCTCATGGCTATCCATTTATCTCATCACAATGCCTATGTTTTAGTAATATGTCTACATACCTTTCACACATACATATGTAAATCTGTATTTCCGCAAAAATATACTTAAACCAAAACAATTAAATAGCCTTAACCAACTTTGTCCATTAAGATGTACAACCGAATATTTCATTCAACCGCAAATACATACACACATACTTATGTACGTACATATGTACATGAGTAAGTAAGAATGTCCATAGTTTCTCACACATTCAACTCACACGTTTATTAATTGTGTTAATTTATATAAATGGGCGCGCATTATTGTTGTTGTTGTTATACATATGTCTGTATGTATGTATGTGCCTAGGAGTGTATATATGTACCTATGTTTGTTATATTATAATCCCCACTGTTGGCTGTTGTAACTTTGCTTGTTATTATTTTTGCTTTAACTTTTATTACAGTTGGTAAACAACCGACAGTTATGAGCCAGCATACACAAAAGTCATAATTCTACTTTACACCATATACTACAAACATATATACTCCTATGTATATACATACATATATGCACCGCCTACATTCAGGCCTGTGCAGATGTGAATAGATCTACTGACGCCTGCTTGTTGCACCTGTGCGCTTGTAGACATATTTTTTACACATTACATATTTGTAATGGAAACATAAAACTGCTATGGATATCCGTGAGGGAAAGAAGGAACAGCAACAAAAAACAACAAAAACAGCAAAATATGTATAACAATAAATGTGAGACTGCAATTCAATGGTAGAAAGGTAAAATTGTATGAAAGCAGAGATGTATAAACGAACGTATGAAGGTGTGTGTTTGTGTGTAAGGAATTATTATATCTTTATGAGCGCAACGCGCGCTGCTCGACTCTGCCTAGCTGCCTGCCTCGCTGGCTGGTAAGCTTAATGAGCAGTACTCGAAACGCTCAACTCAAATTCACACTGTATTCAGAGGTATACTTAAAGCATGCACATACCAAAATAAATTCGCTCACATATTCACACACACCCATATGTACCTTTTAAAGTCGCCCGCACTCTATCGCAATTGCTTTTCTCTCTTCCACGTAGCAGCTTCCAATAAAGTCGCCAACCAGTCTCACTCACAGTTAATCCAACATTCAGTCAAACATTCAATCCAGCATTCAGTCAAACATT